AATAAATAAACCATTCAGTCTTTAAAGTTTATTCATAAAAAATATAAAACAACAAATGTTTGATATTAGAGCTTATAAATAATACAAAAATTATACAACTGAACAACCCGTATGTGTGATATATACAGAAATTTCAACAAATAGGTGGAGGCATTTGCTTCATCTTTACAAATAAACCTAATTTATTTGTGATATTACTACAATACATATATTAACGAATATTAACCCTCTACCATTTATATTTGCATACACAAATATTACTTCTGTTTGTAAGAGCTTTAAATACACTTTATATCATGTAATTCACTGCAGAAGAAGTGTAGATTTTTGTCCTAGAGGCTTATAGTACATAAAGCGTCATACCTAGCCTGATCAGGATCTATAATAGGAATCTTTCTAGCTTACTTCCCTGATAAAAAATTAACTGAAGAGGATGAGACTAAAAGATGGTTGTAAAATAATCGAAAATTTATCATATTTGCAGTAAATTAGCAAAATCATTAAAGGCATTCAATTGTTAATGGAACTATTAATACAACTCGTAAATAATATGTATTGTCATCATTTTCTTAATGCACAATACCTAATTTTGATAGACAACTCACCTGCATGATTATATTATAAATGAAAAATTGAGCACAAACCTTCACCTTACCAAGACTTACAGGTATGTTTCCATTCACTTAGATGTATGTATAAAATATTTGTTTCAGTTTTTCTAATTCACCACAAATGTCACTGTTTTTTAGTTCATCTTTTAGATACGCAGTGTCCTTAGTTAATTTTTATTTTCTGTTTAAGCTGTTAGTTTCCATAATCACATTTTAGTGTATTCAACCCTTATATCTGTTCAGAACTTTTACTTACAGATTATTTTTGGAAGTAATTACATACTGTATGAATAAAATAAGTTAAAATGCTGTTTTATCTACGTTTTTTGGAGTTTTCATTACCAAAAGTAACTGCATACTTCCAATTCTATATAATCTCTAAAATATAACTTAATAATGTTACTTACCAACTGAAGGGGTGAGTGGATGAAGGGAGTAAGTGACATTTTTTAAGAAAATGAGTTATTCGCATGGATGAAGGTGGTAAGTGCTAACTTAAATTTTCCACTTATCCCCAGCCTTCTATGATTTAAAATAATTGAGATAGCCAGCGTATGAAGGAGGTAATTGACCATACTACTTTAAATATCTAGTGAATGAAGGAGGTAAGTAACAAGATAAAGTACTTACCTCCTTCATCCATACCACAGAGAATAAAAATTGTGACATACCTCCTTCATGTATTCGTCAGCTGACATCGGATGACAACAAATTAAAGTTTTTAGGTTATGTGCAAGTGCAACACCCGCTACTGCTTGTGTTAGTGTTCTTAGCTGTTTTAGTTTATTTAATTAGTTATAAAGTGATTTATTATGACTAGTACTAGGGGAAAATTTTTGACAGACTTGGCTTTACAACAATTACAACAAGAATCCACTATTACAGAAGAAGTTGGTGATAATGAAACCAAGATATCAGGTAAATATTATTCTTTAGTAGTTTCAAGTATTTTGCAAAATATTAATTTTAATTGATTGATTTTCATTTATTTAAAGATAAGCCAAGTTTTTACATTACGTCTAGCCTACAATCTAAGTCTAGGCCTATGTAACTTGCAAAGCATCGGCACGTCTTATGCTGTTGTTTACAAAAAGTTTATTTGGGCTGTAAGCCTACTAGAATGCTTTTAATGACACCGAATTTTGTAAATCAATAAAAATCCATTAGTATTGATAAAATCATATTTTCATTAAGCGCTAAATTAAATATCAACATCATAATAAAACGGCAACATTAGTGATATCATTTTTTTCAGATTCAAATATAGCCAAAGAACATAAAAACCTACTGGATGGCTCTAGTATCTACATTCAACCTTGTAGCTCAAATTATCAGAATCATTCTGATGAACTAGAACTGAAAATCCAAGGTACAGAACGTACACGACCATCCAACAAAAACAAACATGGAGTTTACAAAAAACTACGTAAGTACATTAGAAATACATATTATTTGAACAATGGGCTAGTTAAAAAAATCTAATGAAATGGTAAGGTGGTATTAGAACTCTGATGTCTCACTCTGGGTGAGTGTCTTAACCAATTACACTATCCGACCCACGTGATTGTTGCCTTCAAATGTGGTACTTAGCTTATTTAACAGTAATTATTTTCTGTTAATCATTGACTGTCAATAGGGACTTAAATCAGCAGACCAGATTAATAACTAATGTTTTGTTTTTCTTAACAGCTGAAATTAAACCAGGCAAATTTAGGCTTATGCTAATGTTCTGTTTTAGATTACGGAGAAAAACTTGATTCAGATGATGAAAGCCTTTCATCATTATTTAGTGATGACTCAAGAGATGAATACGTTCCTAATGAAAATGAGAAAGATGATATCGAATCAGATGAGGATGGAAATGAGGAAGGCAATAAGGAAGTGGTGAGTGAAGAAACTGAAAATGAGATTATGAATGATGGCAATATACATTTTGAACTACAAGTAAACGGAAATATTCCATATGATGAGATCGTTGCCCTTCCTGAAAATGGAAATGAAGAGGCTCTTAACTTGCCCACTAAAAGCAAGAAGAAAATATTTCCACTAAAAGTAAAAGTAACTAGAAAAAGACAGAAAAATATTGAACAATGGAAAGCACGAAAACGTGCCAAGTGCAGAGAAAGTGGTCTGGCCTACATTTCTAAAATAGGCCAAGTAAAACCCGCTAAAACCGTTAACTCTGGGATTTTGTGCAATGAAAATTGCCGCTACAAGTGTTCTCAGTCAATAACTGTAGAAGAAAGGGAATCTATATTTTCTTCCTACTACAAACTAGATGTAAATGCAAAAAACTGCCTTCTTTTTAAGAGCATTAAAAAAAAGGAACCAATGAGAAAGAAAACTGGAGCATTAAAGCATAAAACTGCCACCTACCAATACAATGTAACTTGTAGTGGCCGGCAAACTACCGTATGCAAACGGGCTTTCATTTCCTTGTTTGCAATCAGCTTGAAAAAGGTTGACCTGATCCAAACTTCAATAAAATCAGGGAAAAATGCTCCTGAACCGGACAGAAGGGGAAAACACGCAGTTAGACCTAACAAGACCCCTGCTGAAGTTGCTTCTTACGTCATTGAGCATATTTCCAGTTTCCCAGCAGAAGAGTCGCACTACTCCAGGCATTGTAATATTCACAAAAAATATCTTTCACCGCAACTTTCGATCCCTAGAATGCATAAACTTTACCTAGACAAATGCCGAACTGACGGAAGAAATGAAAAATTTCAAATAAAAGAGGCTACATACCGATTCATTTTTAATAATGAATTTAATCTGTCTTTTGGTTATCCCAAAAGCGATACATGTAGCACATGCGATTCTGGCAAAAGTAATGAAGAGCACGCTGAAAATTACAAATCAGCGTTTGAATCTCAAAAAACAGATAGAGAATTTGCTAGCAAATCAGATAACACTGTGTATGTAACATTGGATCTACAGCAAACTATGCCCCTACCTAGGCTTAGTACCTCTAAAGCCTTTTATCTTAGACAAATGTGGTTTTATAACTTGGGAATCCACATAATAACCAAAAATGTGGAAAAAACTGTTTTCTGCACATGGACGGAAAATCAAGCTTCCAGAGGTAGCTCGGAAATTTTTAGTTGTTTTCTACGAACAATCGAAGTGGATCCAGCCTTCAAAGGAAAAGATCATCTTATTTTGTGGACGGACTCGTGTGCTGGGCAAAATAAAAATTTTTTGATGGTATGTTTGTTTCAGTATCTTGTGGGCAAAGGCATTTTTAAAACGATTGAGCACAAGTTTCCAGAGGTAGGACACTCATACTTAGACTCGGATAGAGCATTTGGACGTATTGAGAAACAGCTAAAGAAACATCAAAACATTTATATTCCTGATGAATATCGTGATGTGATTATTTTTTCAACCAAGAAAAATATGGTGATAGACATGCAACATCACTTTAGACACACCGAAAATATTATGAAAAATATGAAACTAATGAATAGAAAAAAAGATCTTCTTAATGAAAAGGTTAATTTCAAAACTGGAATCAAGTGGATTCGCGTAGATGTCTTTGGATCATACCTTTTCAAGGAGTCCTACGATTATTACACACCTTTCAAAATGGTATGTATCCTCAAGCAGAAAAATTTCCCATCCCTTCTACCTGAAGAATTCAACATTCCAAGACATATCCAATATACTGGATCCTTAAGCAACGAAAAGTTAGACAATCTAAAAGAACAGCTTTGCTTCATTCCAGAAAAAGATAAGTGGTATTATGAAGCCATCATAGAGCAACGACAATTTTAAGAAGGTGATACAATATCCTTAGACTGATTCAAAAGATGCTTAGAAATTCAGTGTTTGTCACCCCTTTGTAAAATCAAAAATATAAGTGTTTACTTGACATCCATGTTATTTTTTTTCTGATTATAGCGCTTATTCAAAAGAAAAAGCAAATATTTATCCTAGATGAAGGAGGTAAGTCCACATACCCCCTTCATTTTGGCATAGACATAATTTCTAACACAAAAAAGTTTTTGGATAAAAGAGGTAAGTACAAATATATATTTTTCAAATAAGTTTTTAAAAATCGGGGAGATTTTTGTTTTTACAATAAAATTTATACATATCCTACCTGTGAGAATAAAAAAAAAACGGTTTAAAAAATCTATTAATAAAAAAGTTCCAGCAATAAAACTTTGGAGTTAAATTTCTCAAAAACTTACTTTTGTTACTTACTCCCTTCATCCACTCACCCCTTCAACTATAAAATGAAGCAAATGCCCCTTGGATCAATATAAATAACCTGAAACTATGGAGGTATAGGTATAGCAAAAAAATATAAAAATTGCATTCTGATGAATGAGGTTACTGAGTTGAGGTATTGGTTGTTCAAAGTAATGCCTGTTGAATCACAAATTACGCTACAAAGTCCAGAGGTCTATTAAAACCACCTTTCCTATTCATGTATTGCCTATACTTTCTTTTGAGGATCACATGTACGTCACCCACATCATTTCCATTTACTTTTTTACCTTTTGTTGTGTCAAAATTACAAAAGCCCATTAATTTCATCATTTCTTGCTCCTCTGCACTCTTTCCTTCCAGATCGGCTGCGGTTATCAAAGGCCGGTCTGGTACTTTATTTTTTCGTCTTCTATCCACTGGAGACCTAAAAAAATATTGAAATAAATTACCATTTTTCTTTAAGAAATCACAGCTACTTAAAAAAATATATTTTTGCTGTAACATAAAATGCAACTACAGGTATTTTATATAAAAAAAATGCAAACAAAGAAATTTTTACAAAAATGCTTACAGAGATCTAGATCTTGAACGAGAATATTTCCTGTGATCATCCCTTTCAGGAGAATAACGTCTTCTTTCCCTGTCTCGCGACCGATCTCTCGATCTTTTCCGCCTATGTCTCTCCTTATCTTTGTCCCGATCCCTGTCTCTGTCCCTTTCTTTATCCCTTTCTCTATCGCGATCTCGTCTCCTTGAACCAAAAGGGGATTTTGACCTACTTCTCCTTCCCATTTTCTAAACTAAAAAAAGTTAAAAAGTATTAATTTTTTTAGCACACATTATTTAACACACTTTTAAAAATATTTTTAATAAAAAAATGTATTTTAAAAACTATTTTTTACCTAAAGTTTTTGACGATTTTTATTTTGACAATTCCCACCTAATAAAAATGTCGGAAAACGTCGATTTTAGTTATTCTTTTTTACGCGAAGGCGCTAGTTGTTCAAGTATCATTTAAGAATGTGTAATAGGATAATGGCTTTTATACACGGGTAACATTGAGTTCAATTTTGGTGGTTTGGTGAATGTTCATTAGGGAGTGGAATAACGCAATGTTGCCGGCTGTAGAAAAAATTAAAAAAACAATAATTTAATATCTACAAACAAAAAATTAGTATTTCTAATATTACAAAAATAATAATACAGCTCATTAATATAACATTATGATATGTTAAGAACATATAATATAATTAATAACACTGTAACTAAACTGTCCTCTTATATCTCTTACAAGTTTTCTGACCTGTAATTCTGGTTTGCTATAAATCAAAAGGCATTGTGTAATTTTCAAATAAATTGGATATTTTTCTACTTACGGAAAGTATTGGCCATAAAAAATATTTTTCTCTCATTTTTGCGAACTTTATATAAATTATTTCCAGCAAAAACGCACTTTTAAAGGTCCACTAAATCAAAATAGTAGAATTTTGCTTCAATTTTTAATTTCAACGAAGCTGTTAGGAGCTAGATCAAAACTTACTTCAAATTAATCTTTAAATATCCTATTGTTCTTTTACCAATTATATTAGTTAATATATTATGTTTTTTTATCCCTAAATATTTTAAGTAAATATATTTAACTTCCTTAATATTTTCAGTTGGTCAACATGACTTTTGATTAACAATGATTTTGTTTACGTTAAAATGCCAAAATTTTTAATACATTTGACACAAATATATTTTTACAAACATTACAAAAAAAACCAACAAAATATTTTGGGAAATTGCATCTTATTTTTAATATATTTTAGAGATCCGACAACGCCGTCTATATTGAATTATTTCTGGTTTTACTTGTCTACATTGCGCAAGCGCATCAGAAAAATTCATCAGAGGTGCTTGCAAACACAATACATACCCCAATAGTAGTGTAAGTAGAATAGGACGGGAGGGGATAGTGTTTTGCATGGGCCCATCCGTTCTTAATGGCGGCGGCGCTACTAGTCACGTTAGGTGGGAGGTGGAGACGCATGTGCTGTGGCGAAATTTAATTTAGATGGGACGCCATATTGCAAATTCAGATTTGTGTTGTTTTGGTTATTATCATCTTAATTGTAAAAATTGTGTTTTACCATCGTTGAAATGGAACAAAATAGAATAAAAGGTAAAAAAATGTTATGTTCATGGTTGCACCGGCTACACAAACAGTCGATTTCGTTTTCCAAACCCAAAAAATGAAATGGACTTGTTTTCATAATGGTTGACATTTATTATGAGGAAAATAAACAATTCTACACCAGACTGTTTACAATAGTCGTATCCCAAATTTTAGAAATAGACGATAAAAACAGTATACATCAAATTTTATATATCTAATAGACCTGCTAAAGAAGAAGGTATATTACCAAAATGGTATAGTATTTCCCAAGAATATTTTTTGTTGATGGGTGAAAGTTATTGGACAAACGGCTATTAAACATTCTGAGGATTAGGAGTTTATTTTTACAAGCACCGGGTAAGAACAGCACCTAATTATACCAAACTTTTAGTAAATACAAACTTGATACTATTTTGTTTTTATAGTTAATTTACCCAATCGTAACTAACATTAATCTTATATTTATATACTGTATAGATTTTAAACTCATTAAAACTCTTAACTCTTATCACTGCATTCCTAAACATTGCCTTATTTTATAAAAAAAAACTCTTATGACTCTTTTAATTTCATTCCTAAAATTGGCCTTATTTTATAAACAAAGTCAATACATTCTTAATTTTAATAATATTTCATTATTTTAGATTTTCATGGATCTTCTACTTCTGAGTAACAGTTACATTGAGTCACATGCCAATTTGTGATCATTGTGAAGAGCAAGATCGCAGATATGCTAGGGTTTACACTTTATTATCTACATATGGTACTTTAAGGAAAAGTATTTTAGAAGGTATGGAACTTACTACAAACCATTGCTAATAAATATAGAGGTATCTATATTTGTATATCAAAATGACGATCTCACAACATGATGGGAAGATTAAATGAAGATTGGTGGAAAAATCCCTTCACGAAGTTGTTCATCTGGTACAGAATTGCAGCCAATGGAGACAGCAAGTTAACAATATTTAGAGTTTCCCCACCCACACCTTAACAAGGGCTTAAGTAAGGAGGAGGAGGATATGTTGCCAATACTTTACCAAAGAAAATTATACAAATAAACAAGTGTCAGGATGTTTGTGTTTTATTTTGTTATTTTTGGGACTTTGGTTTGTTAATGTAATGGAAAACAGATATAATCATAAAATATTAAATAAAAACTTTCTTGTACCATAATATATACTCTCTCTGTATCAGATATGTTATACATTTATATATATAAAAATGTGTAGGTGTATACTATATTTTTGGACAGAGAGGATATATTTTCTGGCATAGAATAAGTTTTTATTTCTTATTTTATGACTATATTTACTTTCCATTAAAAACATACTTTTTGAATTTTGGCGCCTAAAATTCAGAGCATATTTTTTGAATTTGCCGCCTAAAATTCTGAATTTACGTTTTGAATTTGCCGCCAAATGAAATTAGTTTCGGCCCGTCCGTATTTGGCGCTAGAAACTCTCTTCCAAAACTTTATATGGGAGTTACCTTACTAGGGGGGTATGTACTATGCTTGCAAAGTGCACAGTGGTGTATGGAGAAAACTGCTGTGGGTACGCGGATTGAATGACTTTTGTGTCCCTTTTCTGTAAATAAGTGTTTTTTTGTATAAAGTAAATTAAGGGAACTAAACGTTGTTGTTGACTAAATCTTATTTGTGATATAACTTGACCACATGAGGCGTATCCTCCTCAAGCATCAGTGATTAGTTTTACCTATCAAATTATTGGCGGAGCAATCGCCGATCGAGACCCGGAGAATCATTGGAAGCGGTTGGCTATTATTTTGAGTTAGTCATTATCACGGTAAGTTTTTTCAATATATAATTTACTCTTATACACTCAATTCGTACTTGGATGTACTATCCTTGGGATTATTCTCTTTTTTATTTAACAAATTTTACCAGGGGTGTGTCACTTCACCTGTATCTTCATCTGCAAAATTCGGGGGCCCCCTTCCATTTGTTTATAATAGGCGATTTATTTCCCAGTAATTCTATACTGAATTTTGCCGATTCGCTGGTCTAGACAGGAAAATGAGGCCAGCAACCTGTATTAGAATTGTAAATCACTCCAAACCTGTGATGATTTAAAATACAGCTTTATATTATTTGATAGGTTAAACTTTTCTGCAGCTTAAAATATCGACATGGAAAAATACCACAATAAACACTCCTACAAAGAGTGGTTATTTTGAAAGAAGGATTTTAAAAATTTTAAATTAGGACAATTTAATAAATGCAGTGTTTTTTGGTCAATTTCAATGGAGGTTACTGTATGGTATGACATTATCAAATTGACTTATGTATAGATGATGATCTCATCTTCAAATGAAAGTTGTTTAGTTTGTACAGTGGAACAAAGGTGTCTGATGGAATTAAATTTATTATGTAATTGGTTACAATGAATCTAAATGATTATAATTTACAGCTTTATTTATATTTCTGGCAATAGGTTAGGACAGGTTGTGTTCAATAATGAAAGAAGTGGCTTGTTTATTTCTTTACACTCCAGGTGTATTTATATTAGTAGATTCTTTTATAGTAGGAGGAAAGTACTGCCAAGAAAAAGTATTTGTATTTCCATGCTACTTCAAAAGATGTGATACATGTTTTTACTATACAATACAGATTGAATTAATAAAAACTTAGTTTTTAACTCTCAGAATTTCTTCTTTGTATAGTGCATAATTTTTAATTTACATGGAGTATGTCAGTGACTTTTTAGAACATTTTTTGTATTCATATGTAGAACACTTTTAACAAAATATATTTTCTGTTGTATAGGGTTTCTCCTTATACATATTTTGATCCCCCATATACATATTTTCCTTAATTTCGGGAATACAAAAAAGTTTCAAATAAAAGTTGCATTATTTTATCTGTACCGACCAACAGTGTAGCAACAGAACAACTTTTGTATACAGGGAGTGCCCGATAAAATGCATCTTCAATATTTCAAATGGGACACCCTGTATTTTTTTATAGTTTTGAGTAGCCCTGCAGTTCCTGATTACAAATATGTAACATATGTAGCATTAGTTTTGTTCTATAATGGCGTATGGTACTACTATACTCTACTAAGATAAAAAAAATATATTTAGAAAGTCAACAAAATTAATGACTTACAATACTACATTTAAGATACAATACTACATTTAAGATTACAATAGATGCTCAAAGTGCCCTCCATTGATATCATACATATCTTCATCTCAAATTTTCTAATGCATTAGATATTGTGTTATTATGACCATTTAAATTTTCAATTTCCGCACGAACTTTTGCTGTGATAGTGTTAATATTTGTATTTGAATCAAAATACACTTTTTCTTTTAAAAACCCCATAACAAGCTATCACATGGTGTTAAGTCGGGACTATTTGGTGGCCATGTAATGGTACCCTTATTGTCGATCCACACATTAAATTGATTATTTAAATGTTCTTGAACAATTACGACATTATGTGGGGTGCTCCATCTTGTTGCCATATCATACTATTTAATTGCTTTTGGGTATAATTTTGATTTAATAACTCATCCACTTCTGTAATGACTGTGTCCAAATATGATTCCACAGTTAGTTTATAATCATAAAACAATGGTCCAACTATTTTGTTTTGAAAAATTCCGA